GAAACTACTTTTCTTTGGTTGAAAAGGTAGCTTTACCCCTTTTTAATAGTTTAATGGCCAAATGAAGTCTTTTCCTCCAACGTCCATAAACGCCATTCATCAATGATATTTTATTGTGTCAAAATGGTGGAATAAAGCAATGGGATGATGATAATTTATTTATTTAATAATAGTGCTGGTGGAAAGATATTTTATTGTGAAGTGATGTGATTTATTTTAGCAACAATGCTTCAAATGTTTTTGTTCAATGCATGGCTATATATATAGCAAAGTGTGTGCATGAGATTGATGTTAAGCATTTTTAAGTTCTTGGACATTTCTCTTCCTCTCATGGGTCTTGGTTCTTGAGTTTAATTTTTTCTCTGAATTATTTTCACTGTTTTGTCATCCTATTCAATTTTATAGAAGGGTTTCGCTTAATTTTGAGGAACTCCGACAATTGTATCGAGATTGCTCTTAAAGATAGTGTTTTTGAGTACAACTCAGAACAAATTTTACATTGCATCCGCTAACATTATATATTTTTTTAAAAAAAAAAAATCTACAGTTTCTTTATTGATAATACGTTTATGCTACATGAGGGTAATGCTTGTGACTGAGGACCATCGTAAGAACATAGTATCAATCACATCACGGATAATTTTGAGATGGATTTGATATTTTCATTTAATGTTATTGTACATTTTAAGACTCAAATTCATGATTTTCCTATTGCTGTGAAAAATATTGCTATTTACCTCAGTGAACGCTAGCATAAAATTAATATCTGATTACATTAAATAATAAATATCAATAAAAAAAAGTTCAAACATTTTCAATTAGATATAGGAACATAACATTAAATGAAATTCTTGGTCAACATTTAAATTTAACGCGTGGCTGTCAAATTGATTAGTCTGCAAATGTTATGTTTCCTGAAATTAATTGGGAGAATGACCTAAATTGCAGAATAAAGAAGAAAAAGCACAGAATCATGAAGGATAAAATTTAAATTATAAAAGATTCTAGACTCTGAGTAAGGTCTTTTTCCCCAATTAATTTGGTGTTGATGTCATTTCCCCCCAAATGTCTCAAAATAAAACATATCTAACATTATTATGAAAAATGACCTATTTTCCCGTCTCTCAAATTACAAAACCTATGTCTGTTTAAATTTTTTTAATGAAAAAATCACTTATTTTTTAAAAATACATTTTTGATAAATTTTTATAATATATTTTAAATTTTTTTAAAATAATCAGAATACAAAAAATTATATTTAAAATTATTTTGAGTAGCTTATAAAAATAATATAGTGCAATAGATGGGAGAAAGGTCCGTAAAAATATAAAAATGCAAGAAAATATCTTAAAATTTCAAAATAACTATATGAAAATTGCTTTTTTAAACTGAGCATGGAAATATCATAAATTATAAAAATTACTAAACAAGACATAAAATAATTTTTATTTTAATAAAAATTTAAAAATAAATTTATTTTTATAATTATTTTAAACCATCTAAAATTATTTATTTTTTAATTTTAAACAAATAAGCTTTTTTTTTTCCAAATTTTAAACAAATAAGTTGAAAAGCGAAAAAAAGTGATTGACTATGAAATCGTTCCTTGGCGCGCTGACAGGACATTCCTAGTTGGGCCTTGTAAATCGCAGGCCCATAATAGGCCTCTTGATTTGATTCCACCTTCCTGCGGGCTCGAACACTATTCGCTTCTTGAAAGAATGTTATTTTGGCAAATTTTCCCCTCTGAATTTCCAAAGAAAGCGAAGTAAGAGAGTCACTCAACGACAAGAAGTGAAGAAGAGTCTCTGTTTTGCTTCCTCTTAATTCAACAAATCGGCTAAACAATTCACACTATGAGAGATTATTGTTACGAAGAGTTGGAAAATTCAACTTGCTGTTCTCTCATCGTATCCCAACCATTATTCTTTTGAAACAAGACAAACATAGAATCTATCATTATGAGAGCCGAGAGATTTAGAGCTGAGAGATAGTATCAATTAAATAACCAAGGTACACTTTACTATATTTATTATTTGACGTCTAATTCTCCGATCATGTGATGGTGGTATATATATATATATATATATATTTTTTTTTCTAGCTATTCCATTTGGGAAACATCGGACATTTTCTATATCGAGTAAACTTGTGGATGTATCATGTTTCGACACAAGACGAATCAATGGTTTATTAGAATTTCTCAAATCAATCTTTGGCAGCAAGAGCTTGCCATCCTATTTTCCAATTCTATTATTGTTCGTCACGGGATGTGTTATTTGGAGAATGTATTGGCAAATGCCAATCCCATTTACCAATACATTTTATAATGAATGAAAAATAAATTTATACAGAGATCTAGATTACTAAACACAGAGGATAAAATAGGAAAAAAGTTTACATGTACTAAGTTGTTTATATTTGAACTGAGATTAGCTTAGAAAAAATGCTTATATTTTGAACAAAAGGATATCATTAGTATTTGACATTTGCTATCTTGTTTTTCAATTTTATGATGGTTCTTCTTTGGTAAGAGTATTCAAAATCAATCCAAATCAATTATATCAAACCAAATCAACATGAATTGATAAGATTTGGTTTTGTTTTTTTGGCAAAACTGATTAGTTTGATTTGGTTCAAGTTTTTTGCCTTTGAAAGCTTGAATTAAATTGACAATAAGTTAGGACAAAATTTGGGCTAATCAAGCCTAAATGGAGACTCAAAATTTTGAGTTTGGATTCTGACTCATCTGTTGTGGCGAAAGTTCAATGCATCATGGTAAATGATGTTAAAATTTGTTTAAACAGATATGAGCAGACGCAAATACTAGAGGGAAAGAAAATAAGAAAAGAGAAGGGCAATGGAGAAGAAGAGGTTGGCTTGCTAGGGCCTCGAAATCCAACCACTTGAGAGTTAATTTGGACCTCCAATCATTTGAGTAAACTTCTTACTCCTTCCCTTCACTTCCTTACTTGTCTTCATTAGGATTTTGGGGTATGGGAGATATTATCTGGACTCTAGGGTTTAGGTTTGAACCTAATGACTTAAATGGAATTATAAAATTTGGTTTCAGTTTCTACACTTAAAGAATTGTAATTTAATAAAGTGTTGAAGTTGGGTTCTAAAGTTTGGACAAACCCTAGCCTTAATTCAAGTGTTTTAGAGCTATGGAAGCCATTAATTGATATTATTTAACTTAATGATGGTTAAATAGAACTAATAGAAGGATGTTAAAGTTTCAAGTATGCTAAAGATAGCTATTATGAATGATAGGTTAGCTAATTGAAGCTAAAAATGCTTAGGTTAGTATTGAAAATTGACCAAATGATATTCTAATATGTAGATAATCATTGCTCGAAACCTTTGTAAGTTAGAGGAGGCTAAGGAGAATTGAAATCTCATGAATAACCTTTTTCGGCAATAAAATGATTGAGATGACCGAAGAGTCTATCCTATTTAGTTGCATGTTACATTGTTTACAAGTTTTGTAAAATAAATGATTACTTTGTTTGAATACATGAGAGAAAAAGAGAGAGAGCGCGAGCGCAACATGATCAATGAGGGTGGGAGTTCACTCTAAAATGTGTTAGGTTAAAATCTATATGATACTTACTAATGCTATTGGTGACCACAATGTTCAGTTCTTATTTTGGTAGCTCCCTTATCATGTGAAAGGGTGTAGGTTAGAGCAATATAACACCTTGAGTATTCATAAAAGAGGAATCCATAGTTTAAAAGTGATAATGATGATTTTGGATGAGCTGCTTTCCATACTAGATGAGCTCAGGCCATTCTAATCATATAGACTTGATCTAATGTATTGTTAGCCTATAGATTCAGTTACAAGTCATTGTGGAGGTTAGGATGAAAGTTTATGATCACTCATAATAAAAATGAGAACATGACTTATTATTTTTTTTTTTGTGAATGAGACTTGTTATTAGTTCTTATTTATGAATAATTTGCTTAAATGGTCCTTAAATGTGATTCTTCCTTAAAAAAAGTGCCAATATATAGTAGTGGTCATAAGTAGTTAAAAAAAGAAAATGAATTAAAAAAAGCTCTTAAGATGTTTTTATTTTTTTTTTAAATAAAATGAGAAGAATTTTGAAAACATTCAAATCCAAAAGTATCAAATGGACACACGGTTCGTTACTGTAGCTTTGACAATAGTGTTATTTCGTGAGTATCTTTGGATATATAATGAGCAAATTACTCCTTGAAATTGTTAAGCAATAGTATAGTCTCCAAATTATTTATTGTATAAATTATTCTTTCAAATTTTAAAAACAATGTGATCTGGCTCCTACTGTCAACAAATTTTAATTTTGACGGTTAGTTGACTAAAAAATAATAAAAAATGACCTCAAAAGTTACCAAAAAAATTAAAATAAAGAGCTCAAAAATTTCAAACAATGATCCAAAAATTTCAGACGAGTTAATTTTGGCACCGTGTGAAAACAAAAAACTTGAAAAGGTTGACATGTTGTGAATCTCATAAGTCCAAAATAAGTAGTGCTTGATTAAATTGGTGAAAAGGTAGTGGATGCTCCATTTTTTATACTAAAAGCTACTCAATACTTTTAAAAAAAAATAATTCATAACTAGATTTACACTTTTATTTGCTGTGAAGTGCCACATCATTTTCAATAAAAAATTGTGAGCTCCACATGGAAAGTTAATGTTCATAAAAAAAAAATTATATGCTACACAATGATGGTGAAAAAATAGTTGAAGGCCAAATTTACATATTTACCCTGTACTTAAATGTAAAAAATGCCTTTCAAAGAGTCACTTTTAATTTGGCTGGCATTCATTCTTTTTAATCGAACTCATTAGAAAGCGCAATCCATCATTTCAAATAAAAAGAATATAGATAACCTATACAAAATTATATAAGGTAAATAAAAGCCATTGGCAAATTAAACCCTCCAACACTTTACAATTCTAAAACTCCATTCACTATCAAAGTGATGAGATGGCCCAAATATAACCAAGTATAAAGTTAAAAAAAAAAATTAACATTACCATGCCAACACACGTCTTTCCAGGTAAGTCAATAGAATTTGTCTCTTCAAATAAAATGGTACCCTCCGCAAATAATTAAGACGTTTTTGCATAACGAAGACATTTACATGAGAGAGCTAGTCATGTTGATGGGATCTATAAACAATAATAACTCTTCCAAAGTAATGAAGAGGAGCCATCACAGAATGGCGCAACGGCTTTCGCCTCGTTTACGGAGTTCTTCATGCGCCATCTCCAGATTTTCCCGAAGCTTCCGAATTTCATCATCTGATCTCTTTTGAGCTAAAAATGCAATCTCCTCTGCCTTAAGCCTCGCAGCTTGCTCCTCAGCCAATTGTTGCTCAAGCCTAGCAGTTGCTTCCTTCAACTTCGTCTCAACCTTTATGAAATAAAAGAGTACATCACTTAAACTTGCACTGAACTGGCCAATTCAAGGCAAACCAAGAAACCAAAACCTTTAAACATCAATCAGAAACCAATAAAAACCAATCCTTTTAATCTTCTTCTCATATTTTCAGTTATAAAGCTAAAAATATTAATTTAATTATGACCAATTTGATTAACCAGATCGGCTTGAAAAACATTAAACATCATGATACTCAGCCCCCCCCCCTTTGCCCCGTCCCATGTCCTTCCAATTTCTAATGCATACATGAAACCGTTCAAATCTAACCCGTAGTCCCCATATAATTGAATCAAATTTGAGCCATTAAATTTATGTACATGTGGGGCACACAACACAGAATTTTCACATAATTGTCCACAAAGGTAGGAGTCAACCTAAAACATAGCATTTGCAGTACGTTTGTCCAAACAAATTAGTAAAAGAATACGAAGTAATAGCCGACATTCACTAACGATGTTGGTGATTGCACTGCCAGAAAATCAGATCAGAGTTAAACAGGGATCAAGTTCAATCAAAAGCCTTAGACATTCCTTGCTTAGTAGCTAAGGTCTGCAATGAAAACAACTTGGACACTAAAACTACTCCAGAGGCTAAGCATGCTAGAATATTTTCAAGACTGGGATTTCATGATTATCTTTATCGAACGAACATAGATAACATAGATAACAGAAAAGAAAATTTCTCAGACTATATCTACATTAATTTGTCATAAAATCCATTTACTTTCTGTTTTGACAAGATATTAATTATGAAACACCATGAAGGATACTTAAGGAAATTATCAAAAGAGATTTATGAGTGAATGATACATCTAAAGAGTTTATTGTTGATAATGGCATCGTGCAATCCATATGAAATGCCATGAGAAATACCAATTTCCTCATGACACTCAACTACAAATACTCGGCACCCTATTGCAACTAGAATGCCATGCGAAAATAAAATCCTTTGCTCAAAAATGCATTTACTCAAATTCCTCATCAAATCCTAAATCATAACTCTACTCTCCGTCAGCAATCTTTGCCCACTTTGATGCGTTTGAATCAACAAAACATGATATAAAAAGATTTTATTTTCACCAGCGGAGACCAATATTTGGGTCAAAGTTTCTAAGCCGAACAATCAGAGGCATGTCATGTTTTCAAAATCAAATCCTTTCAGATGCGGGGCAAGGAAGGCTGCCGCAGCAAATCTTTGATTCAAGAAAAAAATAATAGGAAAACCACATATAGTCTCCTAAACTATAGTATAATTATATCTCGATTATGGCAATTTTTGCCACACTTAACTCTCTAAACTTATACACCACTTCAACTAACATTGAGAATCCACAAGAATCTCATGTGACACCTTAATCAAGAGAGATTTGAGAAAAAGAAGGGTAAGAGCAAGGTATGATGCAACATTCACCAGGTTCATAGATGTTGGTCATATTTCCACATTTTGTGATTGCTAAAGTTTGTTTTATGGCCAAATTTTTTATGAGGGTAGTGTTTAATTTTAGAGTTTATGTAATGTAACTTATAATTACATTGTTCAAGAGACGATATGTTATTCCCCCACTAATAACAAAGTATATTTCTTTTATAAGAATACTGATGAGATCAAGAGAATACCATCTGAGTGCATGGGGTAACCAAATAGTGCAACTATCTACTTAAATTCTCACACACAAACACGCAGAAATATATTCTGAATCATCATATAATTATAAGAATTCTCTCTGATGACCAATAGCAACAAAAATGCCTCAATTAAACCATCCTACATCACAAGCTAGTGTTTGTGTTCACCGTTCACAAGAATATGGTGAAAGCTAATAGAATTTCCATTCATATGACAATCATTTCAGGGAGAACAGAGTGTCTTTGCAGATTGTTATCATTCTCAAATAATGAATATATACAATATTTTTTTAATACAAAAACAATAAATGACAAGGAAAAATATGTGTGAGGCGCAAGGACTTGGAAGGTACCATATCAGTAATTCGTTTTAGTTGTTCATCATAAGTACGATGCATCTGTTCCTTGATCTCCTTGATCTCACTTTTTGAATATCCTTTTAAGGCCTCGACCTCTAATTGTTGGTAATGAAGCCTCCTTGCTCCTTTCTGCAGACAATTGCAAATTCATTAATATAATATATTCAAAGACCAAGTAAAGAAGATTGACAAAAATTTGCAGAAACATTCACCTTCAACTCAGTGAATAACTCATCCATATAAGGTTGTCCACCATTTTGTGCAATGACCATGTTTACAAGAGAAAGAAGCCGCTGAACTTGTTCAAACTGCTTTTTTTCATCCTTGGTCTTGTTATCAAAAAGCACATACCGGTTTTTACACAAAACAAGAATTTCCTACAGAAATTTAAAATTGACTTTAAGGTTAACAAAGTTTCACATGGTATAAATTTGACAAACTATACACCTACATTCCAAGATATTCAAGCAAAACCATATATTGTTATATTATATTACTGAAGCCAACAAGAAAAAGGACAATAAAGAGATTTAACAAGAATTAAAAGGTTGACATCCCATAGTAGGTGTTCACAGAACAACAGGTGTTCCTTGAGTCAACTTTGAGGGGAAGAAATTTAAATTGGGAATGCTGAATATTTAAATTCCAGCTTAAAGGGAAGTCATGTGCCTAAAGCATCCCATTTTTTATCATGCTATGTTACCCTATTTTACCACATTTTCTTGCCGTTTTTTGTACTATTGTTTTCTTCTTAATTCTTTTTTCATTTTTCAAATGTTTGTTTTACTTACTTAAGAGACATTTTCAACTAAATCTGAGTCATTTATTTTTCTTTTCAGCCTGCATCACTCTTGGTAATGAGAGAATGGCATCTTTTCTCCTACTATTTGTATCATGTATTGGCGTATTGGTCTTCAAGCTACAACCACATATTTTTGTTCAGTTTCTTCTTCTCATTCTCTCAGTTATCTTCAGTTTATAATATTGACACCAATGAGACAGGACTAGAAGGTTAACATTTTATAATACTGACACCAATGAGACAATGACAGGAAGTTATTTGACAGGACTAGAAGGTTAACATTTTATGGTAAGTACTCATAAAATTAAATTAAATCTTCTAAAAAAGAATAGTTTCTTCACATTATAATTTTGTTTGGTACGCTTGTTTGGTTCTTTGCTTGGGGATTCCAAATCCACATTAGACCATCTTAACTAACGAGAATACTGTATGGAGCACAGTTTATTCCTGTAGATTAGCCCTCATGAGTCATGCCTTTAATCCATAAAACTCTCTATTTCTTTGATCACACCCTGATAGAGAATCAACAACAGTATTTCAAAGGTATTTTACTTTCAAGTCAAAAAGCAAGAACCAACACAATCATGGCCATGACACTAAACTAACTTAACAGTTACAATCAAATGGCAATAGAATCTACCTACCCCTTTCAAGGGTTCATGTGATGCAAAAGATACCAAAATAACAGTGATGGTATGGCTGGGAGGAAATAATGAAATAAAAGTGGACATTTTGTTAGAGAATCAATGCAACAATCTAAAACAATAATGCTGTAATAAATCAGGGAGTGCCTCCAATATATAAATCATGACCTAATCACATAAAACACTGCTACAATCCTATCTTCATTTACACCAAAGGAACAAAACTTATAACTGAACACATAGAAGAAAGCAAAAATAAACATCCGATTCTGATCCTCTCCTCTAATGGATATGTGCATCATAGTTTCTGCCCTAGTATATTCAGCAGTTCACACCCGTCCTTCTAGACTTGTACAACCATTCCTATCTCCTCTCTCTCAATTCTAGTATGATCATTTTTTTTATAATAGGTTTTGAGTGGCTGCTGTGCTAGCACTCTACTAGTTTTGCAGGATGCAAAAGAGAGAAGGACGTTGAAGAAAATTAAGTTAGCAAAAACTCTTGCTCGTGAAATATAAATTTTAAAAAAATAGATTTCAAATTGTTTCACACGCTATTTTCAATAACTCTAATTGTTTTGAGAAGCATTTTCAAATAAAAAGTTCTTTAAGATTGTAACCAAACAAAAAATAACTTCCATCTTTCATAAAATCCTTATACAAAAAGCCACTTCTTTACAGAAAATCACTTGATTTTTAAACTTAAACAAATGAGCCTATAATCTTTTTGGGTGGGTCAATTGCACATTGACCTCTTAACTAATTTCCTTTCATAGCATTTTACTCCTTGTTTTATCCATTTTTTGCAATGTTCCACCCCTTATTTAATGGAGGTTCTCAATTTTGAAAATCATGTGCTACAGCCTTTAAAAATATTTTCTTTGGAGCCCATTATAATCATGACCGAGCTAACCCTGAGAGACACACGAGATTGTCAATTCACATATTCTGCTCCTTTGGAGTCATTTTGTCACTAAATTGTCAATTGTGAGCACTTCTTACAAATTTAGATGACAGGATTGGAGGCAATGCAAAAGAATCATATTGGATAATGGAGAATGATACTTGAAATTGCAAATCAGTGAGAAAATAAAATTGGTTACTGGACCAATAAATAAGGACAGCAACGTGCAATAGTACATTCTTTTGCAAATAAGAAAATATGTTTTTGATGATGAGGAATCAATACAGCAGAAACAAGAAGCTTAAGTAAGCACTGACAGTCAATAGTATTTGATGAAGATATGAGCAATGAAAAATAACCTAACCAAAAAGAAAGCCAGTCACAGCAACTCATCTAGGAGGACAGATCACGAGGGCCAATTCAATGGGCTAAAGAAACAAAAAAGAAAAAAAAATAGCAATTCATGGAAATAAAAATGCTTAAGAAAACTTTAAAGGTTTAGGTCCTTTGTAAGAATAGTAATTAATATAAAGATCATGCTCAAACAAACCTGTAAAGGCTCTGGGCACTCACGACCTAAGTAATCTTCCAAAGTTTCATCATTGTCTTCTAGTTCATCCCCTCCAGTGAAGACCACAACCATGTAGTCAACTATTTTGTTTCCAAACAATGTCTGCAAGTTACGAAGAGCAGCTTGTTCTTCTTGGGAAAAGCGAGTTCTGACAGAGAACACTACAAGGATGGCATGAATCCCTTCTTTGGCCAGATCAATGCACTTTACAATTTCCTTCCCAACAAAGTCAGATCCCACAGCATAATCAAATAGTCCTGCAAAGCTTGTTCACAGGTACGCTTAGAAATAACAAAATCAGTGAAATTGCAAAATCAAAGGCCACAGAGAATAGCAAAATAAGACGAGCTACTGTATTTTACCTGGGGTGTCAATAACATTAACAGTTTGACCATCTCTTAGCACAGCTTTCTGCAATTCACAAGTGCTTGTTACAGCAGATGAACTTGCCCTTGACTTGAAGGCCTTCCTTCCAAGAATGCTATTACCTGTTGCACTTTTTCCATTGCCAGTACGTCCAACCAAGACCATTGTTCGGGTCTCATTAGTTGAGGTAGTAAGCTCCCAATCATCATCTATTGAACTTCCACCCATGATATAAATTCAAGTTGCCTAATGACAAAAATTATCAATATAATATTACAACATATATTAAATATGAATATAAGATAGCACGTAAACTCCAAAAATTTTAGCAGAAAGGAAGAAACAAGCTCTCAAATACAGGTCAACGATGTTTATTAACTTAGACAGTCATATTCAATCAATTAAGTTCTATTACAAGTCATAACAAACAAATTTGTTAGCAAAAACAAAAAAATTAATAAGATCTGCCGGAGAAAGCAGTGTATGAGCAGAAAACAGAAGCTATATACTACAACCTACAGGATTTGCACATCCAAATCCAAAGCAATTAACAAGAATTCAAGTCTGCCACTCGAGGATCAAACGCGATATACCTTCTAAAGATGGTAATTCAACAATTAAACAACACACATCCACCTTCTACATCCACAATTTGACCAATAAAGAAAGACTCCGACCAAAAAATACAGAAACGATCCAGTCCAATTCACGATGATCGAGCCTAAAGAAAAGCAAACTAGAAAACTCAAGCTATCTCTATGTACAACTTCATGATCGTTGAAAACAGAACAAATCATTCCAGAACTTATTCTGGAAATTACTAATCTCAAACCTGATATAGTCTTGTAGAGTACAAGTCAAAGCAAGGAAACAAAAAGGGTTCACACAAAATCGAAGCAATATAGCAAAACGAACATGAAGTGTGAGATTACTTACTTGAAGAATAGCGTATATGGATAACAGAGAAGCGACTCTAGGAATATATTGTGATAATGGGTAAAAGGTAAAACTTAGACTTGGCAGCTTAAGTCCGAAGATTACTCTGAAGAAAGGGGAGTTTACGGTGGATGCGGGAGCGGTTTCCCTGCTCATCTCATGGGTGAGCCCGCGTGCTCTTTTAAAAGATAACATCTGAACCGTCCAAATTTTAATCTAAAAGGTTCAAATTTAAAATACTATTTTATATTAATTTATTAAAATAAAAAATTATAAAAATTATAATCTGATCTTATTTAGTTTAAAAAATTTAATTTAATATTAAAATTTTTATAATTAAATATTTTAAATTTTTTAAATGTATTTTATATAGTATAGATATTATATCTGAACTGCTGAATTATATAAAATTTATATAAATAATTAATATAAATTAATTATAAAAATTTTAATATCAAATTAGATCATTTAAATTAAATTTAAATAAAAAATTTATTAAAATTATTTTATAATTTTTTATTTTAATAAATTAATATAAAATAATATTTTAAATATTATCCAAATGTGATCATCCAAGATAAGCAGCGAAACCGTTGGTGATGCGGCTTTCACACCTAAACAATTAACGTCCGTTAACTTGAGCGGTGGGCCACTCTCTCTCCCACTCCTCCGACACGCCCTGCCAATGAAGGTGAATCCAAGCGGCGACATCGTTGACGGCTGCGGCGGCCATGGCTAGGCTTCCGACGCCGGTGGTGAGGAGCTTGAATCTCCACCAGCCAAAGAAGATTTGCCCAGAAAGTGTGCCGCAGAAGGCCACGCCATTAACTGCAGCCGACACGTTAGGAGGCAGCGTCCCAGGTTGGAGAGAAATTCCGCTCGTGGTAGTAAATACGACCGTGCAGCTTGGTGACAACTGACGAGGGAAATTGCCAAGAGATAAATAAATTATTTTTTATTTTTAATTTAAAAATTAAAATGCACCAAGCACATATTTAAAGTTTGAATTATTTTTTAGATTTTGTCGGCGAATTTTTTTTGAATTTATAATTTAAAGTTTAAATTATCATTTAATCCAAAATAAAATTATTTTTTATGACTAAGAGATAAATAAATGAAGAAAAATATTCGATTAATAATACTCTTTTGCTTTTGCCAACAAAAAAAGTGTTGAGTGGATATTGAATATACTCTTTATTTTAAAAATATAAGGTATTTTTTTAAAAATTAAATATTAAAAAATATAAAGTATTTTTAATCTTTTGAGGTGTAATCATTATTTTTTTTAAATTGTCCTTATTAATGAATGATTTTATATTTATTATAGGGTGTTTAATAGGAATAAATATAAAATATAGGGTTAGTTTAAAAATAAGTAATTACTTTATTAAAAGTTGAGATTCGATTAAAAATACCTTATATTTTTTAATTGAGGGGAGTGTATATATATATATATATATAATCTTTTCATTTTGCAACAAGTTTTAATTTCATTGTTAACTGGAGGTAAAATCATATGCCATGTCACTTACCTAATTGCTACTTATTAATTGTACAATGTAACTTCATTTTGTAATTTAGATGATACGAGGGCAACAACGTAAGTTTACCAACTCTTTCCAAATCTCGCCGGTCGCGGCAAGGAAGGTAAGGAATACGGAACGACACGACGTTAATTGTTTTTTTATTTATTTTTTGTTTGTTTGTTTGACTCAAGAGACGACGTTATTCTCAATTTTGTTTGGTCAATGGCCAGGAAATACAATTGGAGCCAGAAAAAATTTAATCGAGTATATTGATCTGAATTTGATATAGAATTTAAATTTCAAATTTTAGCATGTTTCTGTTACAAAATACATATTATTTTTAAGGTTAATATGAAATTTAAATTTAAACTAAACATCCAGGCATGATTTTAACTCTAAATTTATATTTAATACATTTTAAATAATTAAATTTAAGGCAATTCCATCCTGTAGTTAAATTAAAATAAGTGTCCATTATTTTTAAAACAAATTAGGCCTAATGTGAGATTTTTCTTCAAATTTCACTTACTCTCTGTCCTACTCTCATTTGATTAAAATTGCACCTAAAAACCCATTTTTTTTAAAAAGTAATAAAAATTTGTTTTAATTGGACAGTAAAGATGAAATTATCTCAAATTTTATTATTTAGAATTCAAGATATATGAAATACTAGTTTAGAGTTAAATCACTTTTGGACATATAATTCAAGTCCAAATTGCATATTAATTTTTGCTTTTAAATCTAAAAAAGATCATTTTTATTTTTTTTTTCCCGAAAGATATTTAAAAGGTAAACGTACAATTTGATCACCTTTCAAAGTCATCATCATCAATTACTTATCTAAACTTTAGATAACCTGCTACAGTAATTGAACAGTAATAATCCAATAATGACTCAGCGCGTCATTTTTTATTGGACAAAAGTGTCCTTTGTTTTACATGGAAGCCTGAATGACTTGGTGCTAGCTTTGAGAAAACTTTTGCAGTGGATTTGCTATAGTCCTCATCCATTTCACCCATTCATTTAAGCTTCCCCACCATCTGGCATCAATCAATTTTCTATCTCCACGTTTTCTCCATAAGCCTTCCTATTTTCATATCTCGTGACTAGGTGGCAAGTTGTTTTCTCTCCTTTAGGTTGATTATATTGGGACTTGGTGTTTTGCCGTGCACTTTTTTGAAAAATCAAATTGACATTGTTCTCATCTATATATTAGCCTCGAAGGTTGGAGTTCCGAGTGTGTGTTTTGTGGTGGTGTTTTTCAGAAGCTAATGTGTTTGCGATTTGCTTATGCTCTTTCACTTGATACTGTGGTGTTGGTGGCTTTTTGAACGTGGTGAGTGAGTTTTTCCTGCACTTCCTTTTTTTTTTTTTTAATTTTCTCGTGTCATTGGGTTTTTTTTTTTTTTTGCGTGTTCAAGTTGGCGCTCACTCCACTAGTTTATGGTGGTAGGTATTTATTGATTTGCTTTGTTGGAGGGATGAGGAACATGGAGTTTCAGCTTCTCCATGACATTAACTCTAGATGGGAGATGGTTAGGTTGCATGTGAGGGTGTTGTCGAAAGTATTTTGTTATGAAATCAACTCCCCTGCTTAATGCTTATGCACGTCTTTGGTAGATGTGCAGGTTTATTTGCACGTCTTTTTCATTTTTTTGGTTGTAGTTTTTGTTCATTTCCTACCTCAAGTGGATTATCCCGCTTCTACTATAAAAAGGCTTTTCTATTATCTTAATTCACGTCCCATTTTGAAAATGGGACTTAAAAAAAAATTAATGTCACACAAATATGAGAGGAAAGTAAATTTAAAAATCTACATCTCCCATAAACTAGATAAAGTAGATTCTTTAAAATCCATGTCCCCCAACTGGGAAGGGGACATGGATTCTGAACAATCCACATCCCCCTCTCCCCTAGGTAGAATCCACGTCCCCCAACTGAGAGGGAGACGTGGATTCTTAAATCCACCTCCCCCTCCTCCTTAGGGGATGTGGATTTTCAAATTCATGTCCCCCTCCTAAAAGGGAAACATATAATATGTTGAAATTTTAAATTTTGTGTATACTCACTTTTTTATTTTTCAAAATTTGTGTGTCAGCTCCCTATGCTCTGTCTCTGCCTCCCTCTCTTGTCTCAGCTCCCTCATCTCTTTTCTCTTTCTCCGTCTCAGCTCCCTCCCTCATAGTTCCCTCTCTCATCTCAGCTTCCTCATTTCTTTTCTCTATCTCTCTTTTCTCAGCTCTCTCCCTCACTCTCTCTCTCCCTCAGCTCTCCCTGTCTCTATCTCTCAGCTCCCTCTCTCGCTCTCTATCTCTTATCTCCCAGCTTCCTTATTGCCTCTGTCTCTCTCGGCAGCTTTGTGGACGAAGAAGCCCAGCCACTCATGACTAAGGACCTCTTCTCTTCTCTCTAGGTATTTTTTTTCCTTATTTTTTTATTTTCTTGAACAGGTCTCCACGCAAGAATGTAATTTTTGTTTTGACATAAGAATGTGATCAATTAATTTTAGTTTTACATGATATATATGATATTATGATGCTTAAATTTTTTTTGAGCCCATGAAAGTATGTACTTATTATTTTAAATAATTTTATAATTATATAATTATAGATGCAATCATTTTATTTTTTCATTGCATTTGGTGTATTTTGTTGTGATAGTGTATAAATGATTGTAAATAAATTGCTATTTATTAGACTTTCACTGTATGAATTGGCTGTTTCTATGGCATATTTTGGCAAATTCTATTTTAGTTGTATAATAAATGCAAATTATATATAAAAAAATTTTAAAAACAACGTCCCTCTATAGATAGAAAGGGACGTGGTTTGTGAATCCAGATAAAAAACCACGTCCCCCTATATCATAGGGGACGTGGATTCTTAAGAAACCACGTTCTCTTATATTAAGAGGGATGTGGTTTCTCAATTTATGAACTAGGCAATGAGAAACTACATCTCTCTTACTAGAGGGGGACATGATTTCTTTATAAACCACGTCCACCACCTATAAGGAGGATGTGAATTTTATAGAAACCACCTCACCTATTGTTAAAGGGGACGTGGTTTATGATATTTCATATCATAGGCATTTGCAATGTGGATAAGTCATTATTCTAAGTTGCCCAGTATGATGTTCCCTTCAATTGTGACGTGAAAATGCTTAGAAATATGACGTGAAAAATCTATTTTGTAGTAGTGAGGTGATCAGATATAGGCAATCATTTAATGTTTAATGCATTGCATTATGTCCATTTGGTTGATCTTTTCATGCATGTGTCGGTCTGGTGTCTTGGAACTGGCAAGATAAAGTGGCGGATACTTTCCCTAAGCAAGTTGATGAAGTGAGTGGGAAGAGGCTCCTCATGATGGTGAAGGTCGATGATTTTATCATGAGGAGGAAATCTTTGAGTTAGAGTACGGTAGAGCATACACAGGATGGTTACTTTATAGGAGCTAAAGTCGAAGCCTCAAAGTTTGGACTCTGGTTTAGTGCTACTAAAATTATCTCCCCCTTGTATTTGCATCAACTGAACAGCCTTTTTTTCTTTTTATAGATGATCAAGTCTGTAAATGATGGTAACAAGGGGCTGTTGACCACACCAAGTAGCTGCACCA